CCATGTCCCGATCCATCCGATCCCTGCCCCAGGGAACCCCGGCCCTTCCTGAGGGGGCTCAGGCCAGGCCGCGGCCGCCACCGCCCCCCGCCCAGGCAAACACAAACAGCGCCCAGAGCGGGGATGCGGTGACCGCGGCTCAACAGGTCCCGTCCCGTCCCACCAAGGCCGGGAACAGCCCGGGCCGGCCCCGCCGAGGGAACGCGGCCACCGGGACTGGGGAGACACGTGGGCAGGGCTGGCGACACGCGGTCCCCTCCAGGCCCCTTTTCCCCGGAGGCCCCTCCGAGCCCGTCCCGCAGGGTCCTCCTCCCTCACAAACCCTCCCGCGTCCCCTTACACCGCCCCGAGTCCCCTCCCAGCCCCCCGAGTCCCCGCACCTGCCGGGCCGCGCTCCCTCGCCGGCGGACGCGCACAGCTCCGCGGGCCGCAGCACTCCCTCACCGCGGGCCGCAGCACGCCCCGCGCGGCCGCCGCGCTCCCGCCGCTCCCGCGCGCCGCTCGCGGCCGGCGCTACTTCCTCTTAAAGGGGCCGCCCCCGCCTGCGCCGGCCCCGCCCACGGGAGGGAGCGGCAGGGACGGGCCGGGGGAGGGGGAAAGGCACAGCGGATGATGGGGGAGGGGGGACACGACAGTTCGTGTTTTATCATATTTTAAAAATTTTATTATCGTTTATTTTACTCTATGTTATTTTATTCTATTTCATTATTTTATTCTACTTATCTGAATTCCTTTTATTCTATTTTCTTTTATTTTCTTTCACTTTCTATTTTATTTTTCTACTTGATTTTGTTTTCTATTTTATCCTTATTTTATTTGCTATTTTATCTTAATTTTATTTTATTTTCTAGTTCATCTTTTTATATTCTATTTTATTTTTATGCTATTTTAATATTCTATTTGCTTTTGTTTTCAACTTTCTTTTATTTATTTTATTTTTGTTTTCTTCAATTATTTTCTTTAATTCTATTTATTTATTTTCGTAATTGCATTTATTGTTTCATTTTATTCCATTCCGGTTATTTCCCTCTCTTCCATTTTATTAATTTTCTTCTATTCTGTTTTATTTATTTGCTTCTTTTAAATTTATTTTCCCATTTTATTCTGTTCCGTTTGTTTTCTTTTATTTCCCTTTATTCGGTGTTTGTGTTTTCGGGAGCAGGGATGCTCAGGGGGCTCCGAGGGGCTGCAGGGCATTGCTCCAGTGGGGGCAGCTGGAGGGACCTGCCCAGACCCCAACTTTAAGGTCACAAAAAGGAGAAGTGGCCAGAAGCAGCCCAGGTTCAAAGGGAACAGCTCACAAACGTCAAACCCCGCAGGGAAATCCCCGGGCAGCCCAAAATCAAAGGGTACCAAAAGCTGAAGCAGAACCTGCAGAGCTCCCGCCCCACGGGGGCTTTTCCAACACTCCTGGCTGGAGCCTGGAGTTCTCCATCGCAGGTGCCCCCCAATCTCTGCAGCCCCCAGTTCCTCCCCCGGGTGTTCACAGCCCATCCCCGCCCCAGCTGAGCCGCAGCACCTGGGCTGAAGCCTCAGCTCCTCGGGGCTGTCCCTGCTGGAGCTGGCCCCGGCTCCTGGCGGCTGCTCCCGCTCCTGCTCCCGGGAACAGCCGGGCCCTGCTCCCGCTCCCGGGAACAGCCGGGCCCTGCTCCCGCTCCTGCTCCCGGGAACAGCCGGGCCCTGCTCCCGCTCCCGCTGCTCCCGGGAACAGCCGGGCCCTGCTCCAGCAGCCGCGGGGCCGCTCTGCCTGCATCTCCCCACAGATGATGCTCTGCCCCAGGGCAGGAGCCTGTGTGCCAGCTTCGTGGGCAACTCCCGCTCACAGAACCACGGAAGAGAGGTTGGGAAGCACTATTGGAGCTCACCGGGCTCAGCAGGGGCCCCAAAGCACATCAGGATAATGTCCAGATGGCTTTTGAGGATCTCCAGGGAAGGTGACTCCACCACCTCTCTGGGCAGCCTGTGCCAGTGCTCAGTCACATGCAGGGCAAAGTTCCTACCCTGCTCAGGTGGAATTTCCTGTGTTCCAGTTTCTTCCCATTAACTCTGGTCCTGCCGCTTGGCCCCGGCCTCTGATACCTCCAGGCACTTTATATAGCATATATCCATATATATAATATACATACATACACGTCTCTATTGCCATCCATCTCCGCTCTTCCCCCTGCCCCAGCTCCCGCAGCCTTTCTCCATCCTCTCATCATCCTCACAGCCCTGCACAGACCCCACACCAGCAGCTCCACCTCTGCCCCAGAGGAGCCCAGAACTCCACAGCACTCCAGGGCTGAGGAAGGGGCAGGATCAGCTCCCAGCCCACCCCAGTTCAGCTCCTGTGGCTCATTTAACACTTGAGGTTTGCTCCAGGCACTTCCTTGGTTGGAGTTTGCTTTTGTTTCTATCCCGTTCCATCAGATTTGTGCAGTCCCAACCCATGGCAGGTCCATGTGGGGTTGCAGCACTGAGAACAGAGGACCTGGATCCTTCCTGAGCAGTGTTTGCCAGCAATGGGTGCACCATGGTACTGGGCAATTCCCAGTGAAGAACTGCTGGCTCCTGACTCTCAGCCCCAGGGATTTTCTATCCCAAGATGATTCTCACCAGTTCTGGTGTGACTGGAAACCACTGGGGCATCAGCCAAGCCAAGGCCTCATTCCTGCTGTGGCAGGACAGGTATTAATCCTCATCTCAATGTCACCATGTTTGCCACAAATTTCACTGGAGGCCAAGAGGAAGCAACAGCAGGGGCTGATTCCAGCCTCATTCAGACCAGAGCTCCCATTTTCCCAAGTGTTGGGTTTTAGCTGCAATCACAATCCAAAAAATAAAACAATTAATGGAGATTTAACTGAGACAGTCTGAACGATTTTTTCCTGTAATTTCAGTCTTAGTGACAGCTGGTGTTGCAGAGCTGCCTTTCAAAGGGGTGCCATTAGGAATTCTCTACCTTCTTTTGCTAGGAGATTCCTCTTACCTCCACTGGAGACACAATGTTCAGCCCTGGGGTAAATCCATGCCTTGATTTTGGGTCCATCCAAACTGGAACAGTCTTATGAAAGGACCATTTACAAAGCCAAAAATTTAACTTTGTTTTGAAAGTTTATTGGATCATCTTGACACAAAATCATTACAGCAGCTTGTGGTATGTTGCTTTCTTTTTCTTTTTTTTTTTGTTTTTTTTTCCAGGGAATGTTGATAGCAAATAAATTTGTGAATGTAACACATCATACAGTTTCAAAATTCTAGAATCACTGCACAGGATTCTGTAAGAGACTCTACATGCTAAAGTGACAGTTTTCATCCATGAATTAAAAAACCCAAACACTAATTGAGGAACATTATCCTTTAAGACAATTTTAATATGTTCAGTTTCTAATACACAACTGGCTAACCAAGGGAGGCTGACCAAAACCAAACCCTCCACGTCCTGGCAGTGCTGTCGGACACGGAGCTGGGCCTGGCAAGGAACCCAGAGCACCAGAGCAGAGCCTTTGCCAAAATACCTCCTGTGGGAAGAGTGTAAAGAGCACAAGACACGCGTAAAGTACAGGACATCACCCAAGGGATAAGACCAACACTTTATCCTGCTCCCTGTGCAGGGATTTGCTGTTTTAGGAGTGGTGGTGGTGCTGGAGATGTGCAGACCCAGCCAGCTCCTCCCTGGGCACCTTTCTGGAGCAATCAACTGCTCCTGACCCATGCCTCGAAGCAAAACTATTCCACGGAGTTTTCCTCACTGGGTGTGGAACAGCGAGGAAAGAAATGGAGCAAAGGGAATAAAAAATAAGTCGAAAGCAAGGGATGTTGGAGAAAGACATCAACTGAGCATCTCCGCAGGACACCGTGGCATCCTTTTCCTGTTGGTGACTCCACGAGATTCCAATAGTGCAGAATGGGCACCTCCCAGACTCTCCTTTCTTCCCTCTAAAGCAACTGCTATAGTCCCAAATCTGCAGCTCCCCAGCCCCCTCCCCCTCCTGCACCCTGGCAAGGTGAGGGGATCCTCACTCCATCCCCTCCTGCACCCTGGCAGGGAGAGGGGATCCTCATCCCTCCTCCCTCCTGCATCTGGGTCAGGGGCTCCCCAGCCACTTCCCCTCCTGCACCCCAGCAGGGTGAGGGGCTCCCAATCCATCCCTCTCTCCTGCACCCCAGCAGGGAGGGCTCTGCCACAGGGACCCAGGGGCACTTGTGCTGCCAAATCTGCTCTCACTGCAGCAAGGGCAGGGCTGAGGGACACTGAGGGGACACAGAGACAGAATGACCCTGCTGGTTTCAGAACCCAGAGGGAGGACATGGACCTGCACACAAGAGGCTGCACCCATGGCTGTTCTTCTACCTGGCAGTGGTCAACCTCAGCTGGTGAGCGAAAGGATAAAAAAGCAGGAACAGACCCCTTTGGATTTCCAGTTTCTTGCTACAGCTTAACTGTTCAGGAATGTGAAATTGAAGTGGACTCATAAAACACATCAGCAGATACAGCTCAAAGGGGAGAGGCCTGACAGATTCCGTGTGTGGGGCAGTCGAGGGGAGCACAGACCCAAACAGTAACACTTTCAGACCATTTCATGCTTCCACACTCGACTCTTCCAGCTGTCACTAAAAGAAGGTTAAGGCTCAAGGCAACTACTATAAACAGAAACTCAAACATCCCAGTTCTCACAGGGCTCCTTTGGATTAGCTCAAGGAGATGGAGGATGTTTATCTGCTGATCACAATAGATCTTGAGATAATAATAAATCATATATATATAAAAAAAAAACCAAAAAGAGGCCTTCTGGTCCAGCACCAGCCTCTGCTAGAAATATACATCAACTGCAGCAGCCCTGAAGACATATTTCATGGCTAAGGATTAAGTCAACCTTCCCTGGCATAAGCACAAGCAACAAACTGTGCTACTGTTGATAAAGTCCTGCTCAGTTCCCGTCCCACACAGATGAAGGTCATGGGATCACCATGAGCTGCTGAATAAATAGTGCCCGCCCCTCCCTCCCTCCCTCCTCCCCTCCCTCCTCCAGTCATGTCACCAGGATCTCTTTGGGCTAGAAAGGGTTAACACCACAGTTTGTAAAAAGTTCTGAAAATAAAAAGGTAACATACAGCCTTAAAATGTCTAAACTGCAACCAATGGTGGAGTTAACTGAAAGCACGTGCCCCAGGGTAGTACATGCGTACGAGGGAGAAACTTAACACTTGGGTCTGCTCGTCTTTACACGTTGGGTGTGTTTCTGGTCGTTGGAATATTTTATAAGGAATATTCAGCACTTGGACAATGTCTCTTTCATCTCATCCAACAAGTTGCTAAGCAGGGTAGAATCATTGCATTTCCCATCTATGGATACAGAGTTCTCTCCCTTGGAAAGAAAAAAGAAACAAACAAAAAATCCATTAGGTCCTCTTCCAAGAGGGGATAAATGTATTCCCAGCCAAACTCAGGGACTGGAAAGAGGCAGAGGAAGGCAGGAAAGGCTCCAGGTTTACATTCTCTCAGGGGTTACAATGTTCTCACCTTTTTTACCAGTAGGCAGACGTGATGGCCTTGGATAGAACGGCTGTACATGGATGCACACGAATCAACACGTTCCACAACTGCAGAGAAACAGTAATTTCATTTAATTCAATTCAATTTTAATTCAAGCCTTGCTTCCCCTGGAGAGCAACCACTGCTCTGCCTGGCCTCGAGGAACAGAGGCTTCTACAGAGGGTAGGAAGTCAGGGTTAAGATGTGCCTGGCTCCTCCTGGCTTCTCTCTGGGACATTTCACAATAACGAGGTGAGTCATTTGTCTCCTAAGCCACAAATGTTCTGTGGCAAAAACACAGCTCAGAATGTAGATTTCTTCCCCAGAAATACTTCCAGTGAGGCAATGTCTAATGCAAACACCAGAGCATGATGAAACAGACAGTTGTTTTGCTTCAGCCAGTGCTTGTGTTTTAATTAATAAAACCAAACCTAAATAGCTGGGGCTCTCCCTCACTGAAACAAAGCACTGGGGAAGGAGTCTGAAGCCCTGCAGATCAAACCCACCCTTCAGAGAACAGTTACAGACTGAACTCCACACCATCTGCTCCTATGATACCTGTCACATGCCTCACTGGGTTGCAGGAATTCCACAGGGACACAAGGAGAATTAATTTTGCAGAACACTGCATGCTTTGATGTTGCAAAACTGGAGAAAACTCTCACAAATGTATTTAATCTGGACATCGCCTGCTCCTGTGATAGCTGAGCCCACGGAGTGTTGTGCTCACCAAGCACAGCAGAGATTTTAGAACAGAGTTCTGCAGAAAGTTCTGCATCAACAAAGACTCACCTGAAAAATGATGATGAAAACAGATCTTTGCCAGTAGATGTTGGAAAGAAATGCTAATTCCATCTACTTTAATAGAATTCATGTGCAGATCTCCAGACTCTAGGAGCTTGGCAAAAGCATCACTGCAGAACAGGAAGGAAAGTAAATGTTTTATTAGAAGTGCAAGTGAAATCTGTCCCATCAGCCCCATGAAACATGCCAGGATACAGAAGCTAAAGTGCTACCAAGCTCTAGGAAAATGGGTTTACAGCAAATATGGAAACCACACTCCAGAGTCCACTGGAGCAACTTGTGCCCTCTTGCTGCCAGAGCTGCCTCTGCCAGCCCGCAGGGCACAGAGCTCCCCCTGCAGAGCCACTTGAAATAGGTCACTGCATATATCTAAGTCTCTGTAAGTCACCCCTTACAGAGACACTGCCCAAACCCTGGGGAGCAGGCAGAGCTCAGCCTGCCAGGGGCAGCACAGGCACTCACCTGTAGCAAGGCGTCGTGATCAAGTATGAAGCGCAACTGAAGTGCAATTTGAAATCTAGTTTTTCATGGGTTGAACCTTCATCATTCTGCAACAGGGCAAAGGAGAGCACATGAGTGGGAGCCCTGAGGCAGCAAGAGGAGGAGCCACCCCTACCCACCACACAGGCAGCAGTGAGGAGCTGAGGGCCAAGTTCCCTCTGAAATAGCCTGGCTGGGCCTGAAGGATCAGTCTGAGAACCATCCCACCACATCAGCCCACTCAAAGGTTTGGGTAGCTGGGTTGATACAAGCACCTCCAACAGGTAAGGGACACATCAGGCTGCAGTTCTGCCTGCACTCTGCTAAAATAAACTGAGCAGACCGAGTTTAAACTACACTTGGAGATGTGGTTCTGTAGTTCATTATTTCCTGAGCAAAATAATAAATTAATAGTTCCCAGATTCTTAGGTACTAAAATAGGACTAGCATGCTATTTTTAAAAAACCCTTAAAATAGAGATAATGGCTGACTCAGGAGTAGCCACAACTGTCTCCACTCATTTCCTTCGAGCTGCTCATGCAGCTCTTTCATTAATAACTGTACTGAAATAACATCAGAGATCTACACAGTCTTATCCAGCTCAATACCTATTAAACAATGCCTTCCACTGACCTAACTCTTGGTCTGGATTTACACTCTTAATAACCACATTTAATTCTTATTTTTGTTTTCCAGCCTTATACCAGACTGCAGTGTCCAACTGAGATGCGAAGCAGCAGACCCTGGTTCCCTCTCTCCCCTCCCCAGCAGAGCAGTGTGATTTTCTAGCTGACAATGTGGCACATGTTGCAGACTTGCTCACATGCTGCCAGGAATGACAATCCAGGACGTGCTGACGCAGGACTGGGGGCACTCTTTGCACAAGATGTCATGTGAAAACGTTCCTCACAGAATGGGCTGCTGCAGCAGGGATGAAATGATGCCTAAAAAAAGCTCGAGAGCAGAGCTTCCCACCCGAGTCCAGCTCCCTGACGCAGTTCCAAGGAAGCAGAGGCAGTTGAGAGCTGCACTTACTTTGACTATAAAGGACAGTGTTCCTTTTAACTTCTGAGCCATAACAATACTCTGAAGTGTAAACACAAACTGGGCTTCATTAGAGATTCCTAGTGTGAAAAGAAGAGAGGAAAAAGTCAGGTCAGAACATGGTTTCCAGATCTAAGTAATGGTTAGGATAAACTGACTTATGTGCAGACTATTTTTGAACCAAGTTTGAAAAGCTTTGATTTGGAAGAGAGTTCTACACACAACTGCTATGGTGAGTCAACCATGTTACAGTACTTGGATCTCTCAGAAGCAGCAATGGAAGCTGGCATTTGGTGGAAGTTATTGAGCAAGTGCCCAGGCAAAGTGTCACAGTGTCACATATTTAAACTATTCACATAACTGGATTTATATTATAAACATTTCAGAGTAGCTTTCAGAGCTAATTTGAATCCTAATGTTTCTATATTTTCTTTTTAATACACAAGTCTGTGTCAAGAACTACCTCATACAGATTTAAGACCAAATCAAATACCCTACTGCTTTTCATGAGGGACTGTAAAGAACCCTGAGGCCACTCCAGCCCTCTGTGACCTGTTTCAGGATTCAAATTAACTCCTCGGTGAAGGAAGGGAAATTCAGGGAAGTTCACTAATTTGACTGTACTACTGTGCTCTGTACAAAACTATTATCCTTCATTTCTGTGCTTAATATTTCTGGAGGGCTCAGCTCTCCTCTTTGCACACCCTTATCACAAACCTTCACTGCAAAAGGCCTCTGCCATTCAAACAGTGGGACAAGAGCTCCAGAATAAATCCAGAGTGGATTCTAATGCTTCACAAACCTACTACCTTGTTTCAATTTTAAATTTCACAGCAAACACATCATGAATTTTGGATTCCTGTAGTCAAAAGTATGCCAGCCTGCAGGCACCTGGAAAAGGAACTCAGATATTTGGACTCCCAGCCCTAGATTAAGGATTTGCTCTTGCTGTGCAGAACCACCTGCATTACTGGGAGAAGGCTTATCCTCTCCAGGAAACTGTGGGAAAGCCCAGGAATACCCAGGCAGAGATGTTTTTCTGGAAAACAGCAAGAAGTTCAAGCAGCTCTTCCCACAGGAGGGCAGTGCAGGGCCAGCCACGCTCCAAGAGCCCTGTGCAAAGCTGTGCATACCAGGGGGGAGCTGGAAGGGCACGGGTATCCCATCATGTACTGATGATCCTTCTGGTCGGAGCATTTTAGTGTTGAGAGAGTCCAGGACATTCAGTTCCATGCTCTTAAGGAAGCTAGTGCTTTTGTTCTCAAAGATAACAGACACAGTAACTTGGCTGTCATTCTGGAGGTTTCCTTGAATATCATAGGTCTGCAAATGAAGGGAAAAATGTCACAGGAAAGAATCAGAGGAACTTCAAGGAGGAGAAGACAGCATGGGGATAAAAGCAAGTTCAAAAGGGAGGTAATTTGGTATAGCTAAAGGATTATGGGAACACACTGGTGATCAGCTAGGGATTGGGAAAATATCAGCTTAGAAATTAAAGTGGGATACCCAAAGGAAATGAAGCTTGGTTATAGTTCTACCTTCTGGGATTGAAACAGTTCTTCAGTTATATGATGGCTACATGAAGTCACTCCACCATGCCCAGGGTTATCCCTCTCTCAGGGAACACAGGGAATGACAGGAACAAACACCCCAAACTCACCATTTTAATGTACGGGTTTTCAGCGAGAAGGCGGTAACTGGACATGGGCTGGTAAACAAGAGAGAAGTCACAGTCACACCAGAACTAACAACTCTGAAAAAGGCTGTCACTGTCCTCCCTCCCAACCAGCTGAGATCTCCTTGTCCCCAGGCCTGGGCACAGCTACTCACTGGTAGTGGCTCATCCTCTAGTGTCCCATTCTGCACCGACTGCAGGGGCTCCTCCTCACTGTGATGACTCTTCTTTTTGGATTTCTTTTTATCCTTTGATTTCTCTTCTTTCTCTTTCTTGTGCTTTTTCTTCTTATGCTTGGAGGATTTCTATCAAGAAGAACAAGAAACTACAACGGGCCCTTAAAGAAACCCTTGATTTCTAGCCATGACCTCTCTACCACACTTCCAGCTCCAGACTTTTGCTCTCTGCACTTTGTGGACTGAACAAAGTTTCCCTTTACTACAGAACCCAAAACAGAGCTACCATCCCTTAAATCCCAAAACTAATTGCACATGGAGTCCCAGTAAACGCTGCTCCTCACCCAGCTGCCCATACCTTATCCCAAAGCAGCCTGGGAACAGCACAAGGCCAAATCTCTCAAACTGTTTGGAAGCTCAGCTTTAACTGGGACCTGTCCCTTGGCTCAGGGAACAACCAAACCTCTGACCACAAGGTGTTCACAGCTCCTCAAGGATGTAACATTTGCAGGAGGACACTGCACTGGACAGATGCTGTTGGTAAATCCTGTGTGCTGCTTTTTAAGGAATTTGAGACAGCACGAGAATATAGCTGAAAGGTGACAGCAAGTTCACAGAACCAGAGAATTGTGAAGGTTGGAAAAGAGCTTTAATGTCATCAGGTCCAACCATCAGCCCAGCACCACCACGTCCATCACTAAACCATGTCCACAAGTGCCACATCCACAGGTTTTCTGTACACTTACAGGGACTCCACTACTGCCCTGGGCAGCCTGTTCCAATGCCTGACAATCCTTTCCATTAAAAATAAAAATTAAAAAAAAACCAAAAACAACTTTCCTAATATCTTATCTAAGCCTCCCCTGGTGTAACTTGAGGCAATTTCCTCTTAACTTGAACTGCTTACCTTTCCTTCATCCTCCTCCTCCTCATCTTGCTCTTCCCTTTCTTCTTTTTTTACCTCTTGAGATTCAGCCACCACAGCAGTGCCCATTCTGGGCTCGCTCTGAGGAGAAGAGCAGAAGGATTCTGACACCAATGGAAAGCAGCTGGAACAACCGAATTCCACACCAAAAGAAACTCAACAGTGACAACTCCTCACAGCTTTCATTTTAATGTCATTTCAGAAATGACATTAGGCTAACATGGTATCAGGGCTTTCATTTCACGCCTCTGAAACCCAGCAAATATGATCACCTGAGGACACGATTCAAAAGATTTCCTCCAAGGAATCCATCCCCTTGTCTCTTCCTCTAGAATTTCCCATCAAAATTCATGAGAATTTTCTTTCACACTCTGTCTCTCATGTCTATTAATGTTGCTAGAGTCTACCTCATACTGGGAAATAAAACTGTACCCACTGTATAACATTATAACCATCAATAACAAAACCAGCCAAGCCTGGAGCTGCATCTGTATTTCTATTTCTATTCCTTGATCTGCACAGAGCAAGCCTGAACTCTCCCATCACAGTTTCTCTCAACTGGGCAGACACAATATCTCTCTCTGCTCCCCAGCAGGAAGCTGAGGAGATGAAGCTGATGTTGTCTTCTGTGCTGCAGCATGACACAGCACTCCTGCACAGCTCACAGGCAAGAAATAACCAGAGAAGTTTCCTCTGATGGGGGAAAAGATTCCTACCTGTGGCTGGGGTGTGGGAGCATCTGGTGGAGCAGTGGAGAGCCAGAAATCCAAGTCTTCCCCCTGAATTTCAGGAGAAAAAGCCCATTATCATTGTTTTTATAACATTCTTAAAAATCAAATAAAAAACCCAACACCCCCCAACAACAACAGCAACAAAAGAAAACCAAAACAAAAAGATCACAGGGCTGGAACATCTGTCCTGTGGGGAAGGGCTGGGAGAGCTGGGGGTGCTCACCTGGAGAAGAGAAGGCTCCAGGGAGAACTCAGAGCCCCTTGCAGGGCCTAAAGGGGCTCCAGGAGAGCTGGAGAGGGACTGGGGACAAGGCCTGGAGGGACAGGACACAGGGAATGGCTCCCACTGCCAGAGGGCAGGGCTGGATGGGATATTGGGAAGGAATTGTTGGCTGGGAGGGTGGGCAGGCCCTGGCACAGGGTGCCCAGAGCAGCTGTGGCTGCCCCTGGATCCCTGGCAGTGCCCAAGGCCAGGCTGGATGGGACTTGGAGCAGCCTGGGATGGTGGAAGGTGTCCCTGCCATGGCAGGGGTGGGGCTGGATAAGCTTTAAGGTTCCTTTGAACCCAAACCAGTCTGGCATTCTGTGACTCTACAGTTAAATCAACACCTCCCATGTAAATGCAGCACTCCAGAATGCTCCTCATGCACAGATGCTGTGATACATTCAGGAGCAAACACACCAAGAAGCTTCACTTTAGTCTTTGAGCACTTCCAAAGCTGGGCCCTGCCCTGCACCCCCTCACCAGGGTATCCCCGACATTCCAAGAGCTGCAGTGCAGAGGGAAAATGCAGCTCTGCAGGGCATTAACAGGAGGATACTTCAAATCCTGAGAGCAACTGGCAGCTAATGGCAGGGTTTATAACTGAAAGGTTCTGGACTACATGGGAGACAGGATGCAGAACAAATGACACAACACAAGTTCCAGATATTTTGCTAAGGAGTTCCCCACTTGGAGAACAGACAAAATATCAGCAAACTCAGCTTCCACGTGAGCTCTGGCAGACCTGCTGTGTAGGCTGCAGTAAGCTGAGTTCTGCTAACTTAGGAGGCCAAATAAATGTTATTTTTATTAACAGAAATCTTTAAATACCTGCTGCTATGGTTGTAAAACTTAAGGAAATAAGAGGTTGAATGCATTCAGCTGTTTCTAAGCAACAAACTGAACTCAGCAATAACAGCAGGAACTAAAATAATGCAAATCTTGGAGAATTACCTTTTTTTCTTCTTCTTCCTCCTCTACCACCTTTTTCTCTTTCTCTTTCTTCTTTCCTTTCTCTCTCTCTTTATCTTTATGTTTCTTTTCCTTCTTTTTGGGTTTCTTGCTCTTCTTCTCTACTAGGGGAACTTCTGAGTCTGGTGACTTCAAGGCCTCAACATTCCTGTGCCTCTGCACTGGCAGCTTCTCACTGTCTGCTAAGGGTCTTGAAAAGAAAGAGCCCATTACCTGCTGCAAACAGCCTCCCTCAGCCAGATGACCTGTGCAATACAAGGTGTGCTTTGTTTTTAGGGAGCTGGGCTCCCAAGCCTGAAATCAGCACACACTTCCATACCTGGAGTTTATTTATGCAACTGCAGACATTGCAATTGTGGGTTAGGAGTCAGAGGAAACAATTGGAAGGTGACTGAGAGCCAAGGTCTTGCTGTTTAACCCTTAGAGGTGCCAGCTAGAGGCCTGCAGGCTGAGTAACACCCACAGAGGAACAGCTCCATGTAGTGTTATGCTGTGTTTCCATGGAATCCCTCTCCAAGGAAAAGCAAGGATGCAGAACAGCATTTCCAACAGAGTGGAAATTTGAGCAGTGGAATGCCAGCATGGCTCCAGTAGCTCTTGAAGGGTGTGGGGTTTGTTGTTCTTGATGAATAGATCAGTCCAATTGGTAATTATTTTAAGTCATTTTTATTTTGAAAGTTTGCACTATGAACTTCTACTCTATCATCACATTTTATAAGTTAAATGTAACTTCAGACACCTGTTCCAAAAAAGCACCAATAGCAGTTCATATTAACACTGTACCCTAAATCCACTACTTGGGGAAAAAAAAAACCCCAAAAACCGACAGAAAATTCTCTCGTTCTTGTCAAACATTTCCAGAAATCAGCAAGAATTTTACCAACTGCATCTTTTTCTATTTCTTAGCTTTTATTTAATGTCAATTTTTACACTTGCACAGCAAACCTCAGTTCAGGAAGATGTCTAATGGCCTCAACTGCCCCAATTTTTTTTTTGCTTATATTGCATTAAGAACTAGAACCAATTAATTTTTTACTTTCAGACACAAAGAGAAGACTGAACAGCAAACAAGGCCTCATCTTTTACTATTTCAGGTACACCTGTACAGGAACAGCATTGGTGCTGAAAGCCAGTGACAAAACAGACTCACAAATGTGAGGGTCTCCGATTTAACAGTTTCACCACCCTTCAAGGACTTGCACTGTCCAAAATCAACCAGCCTGACAAAGGTCAACACTTGGGAGATATTCTTACCTGGAAGGCTTCCCTGAAACCAGACTGCGTGTGAGCGTGACAGACAGAGCAGTGCAAGCACAGAAAGAAAGAGAGAGGACACAGACATGAGAAATCATGACAGGAGGGCACAGCACTCATGGCACAGGGGAGGAAATGGATGGAACAACCCAAGAGCCCTGGATGCCTCCTGGAGCACAGCACCCAGGCCCTGCTCTGTTGGGTGTGCTCCGAGAATCATCATGCAAATACAGGGGCTACAGTCAGAAATTAATTTCCTTTTATACATTTGTCCCTGCAGACTTTGGCCTTCCAAAAAAGGAATTTTCTCAGAAACTGTTTTATTCACTTTTTTAAAATGCTATGACACTTTTTACAACATATTGAGGGGCCAAAGTCCTATAAATTTGGAACTGCAAAGAAAGGCACAGACTCAAGTATTAGAGGAAGAGAGAGATCCTACACACACCCACATGGGTCTGCACAGTTTTCCAGACTTTACAGGAGGCATCCCTGGACCACAAACCAGCAATTATTTTTAGCATGGTGATTTTGTAAAACAGCAACTAAAAAAAAAAATCCAAACCAATCTCCATGTGCAAGCTGAACAGCCCAGTGCTCATGGACATGTGGATGCAGGGGCTCGAGGTGCTGGCACTGGCACAGCTCCAGCAGCTGGGGGGGACCAGCCTGGTCACAGGTGTGACATGCAGCTCAGTCACATCAGAACAAGACTGCTCAACAGTGGGACCACACTGAAGGGCCACAGGGCAGTGGGGTGGGTGTTACTGATCAGTGATCACAACACAGGCTTGCCACAGACACAGAGCTTCTGGGGGGGACAGATGGACACAGGACACACTCAGTGCCAACACAGGTCACAGCAGAGAGACAGTGGGACACCCAAACCTCAGAGTGACCCACACCTGATCCACTGGCTGTGCTTCCAGACTCCTTCAGTCACACTCACACTACATTTAGTGACTCTCCTGCCCCTCCCTCATACTCAGGAGTTGAGATTTTTATCATCCAAGCTGTAGTGGGAGACAAAGCTGGATGAGCACCTGAGGTTTCATCAAAGCCATGATGAGAGACTTCAGCCTTTTCTCCTGGTGGCCTGTAGTGCCTTTGCCTGCTCAACCCCAGCCTTGCCCTCAGGCATTCCCTTAGCAACTCAGTGAACTCACACACAAAACTGCCACTTACTTATCCAGATCTATGTCAAGTGCCTTATAGGGATCATTTGGATCTTTGTCATCTTCATCACTGGGCAAAGCATTCTGCAGGAGACATAGAGACATCCACTGAGGCAGCAAACCACTGGCAATTTTCAAACTCAAGCTTAACACCACCCAAATTAAGTTTTGTTGAGCCTGTGAACCCTGTACCAGGCCAGCTGCAGTCAGGCACAGTAAGTTAGAGGAACAATGCACTTCAATGCAGCATCCAGTTTCAAGATTAATTTAGAACAGAAACCCCTTCCTCATAAACAGCAGGATTTGAATTGCTGCTGTTCGGTTTTGATTAAAGGAAATTTTAGAAACAAATACAGATGACATCATTAGCATCTGCAATTAATTATCATCAGCTACAAAGCTGCTGACTAGACAGCAAGTTACTGTCAAAGTGAAGCAGCAGAGCATAATAAATGCTATTTGGACAGTGTTACTTTTAGAGCAGGGATGAACATTGTTTTGTTGGTTTTGATGACTTTAATAGCTTCAGTGGCAATTTTTGTCTCTCATGAAAAAAAAGACAGTAATTTCTGCCCCTGCAAAGAACAGCCTAGGATCATCTCAGGCATTTCTAAAACAGCTCTGCATGACAGCAGAGCTCTGGAACTGCCACATCGCAGACTGGCTGCAGTTGTGGGGGCAAAAATCTCTCAGGAGCTGCACAAAGATAAATCCCAGCCCCCAACCACAGGAACTGACCTCTGGCATCTCCTCTGTGATGATGTCAACGTGGTGAGCTGGAGCAATGTCCTCCTCACTCTCTGTGTGCAGGGAGTTGTGGCGATGGTGTTTCCCTCTCTTCTCCTTTTTCTGTTTTTTCTTTTTCTTGTCTTTCTCCAGTTTCTGTTTATGCCTTCGCTCTTCTTCTAATTTCACATACTGGTCGGACATGGGCATTCCTGGGGGAAAGCCAAGCTGCCTTCAGGTACAGTCACATGGACTGAGCACTAGAACACCATGCCAGGAGTGTGCCCTGCTCCTGCTCCCAGCTTCCCAGAGCCAGCTGGATCCACACCTCCCTGCACTTCCACATCACCTCACACAGCCCCCCAAGCACAGCTTTGCTGTCCACTCCATTTCTCCAGAAACAGGACAGAGCTCAATCCTACTCCCTGATTCTTGGCTGCATTACAAGGAGCATCCAAACATTGAGATTTTAAGGAGAATTGGTGACATTGCTGCTGTACTGAAAACTTTTGGAAAAAAACTTAAATATTTGCACCTAGAACTCACCCCTAGCAGTATAAGATACTTTATCAACAGCTTTTCACTGTTGTATCCAACCACTCTTTAGATACACAACTACTTTTGATAATTGAAACAAGGTATTCAAACAGTATCTCCACCATTAGATTCTATTTAAGGTCTCCTATTCTAGGTCTCCTGATCACCTCCATCAGACCTCTTAAGATATTTTCATGGTGACTGCTCCCACATAAAACAGAGTGGTTGGCTCTTCTAAACATTACAAATCTGGCTACATGACATTCCTGATCACAGAATTATTTCTAATATTGTCTTGAAAGGAACTCAGATTGCAAAGTACTATTTTCAAATGTCAATTAAGGAGATATATTTAAGACTAACTTAAGACTTTAATGAAAGTGTGTTCCTTGCCCTTCAAAACCTCAGGTGGAAGTCCTAAGAAGGAATTATGACTTTTGCTAAACTGAATTTCTTTAATTAATTTTAAAGATTAGCTGTGCTTACCTGGAACTTTTAATGGGACAGAAAGGTCGATCTGGACCACAGGAATATGTTCCACCCCTGGAGTGTCTTGGTATCGCTGGGAAAAGAAAGGATTGTTACATTCTGGGCACTGCCAGCACAAATGTCTGTAAATAGGCACATCAAAAAACATCAAGTAGTTCAATCCCTTAAGTGAACATTTTAAAGGATAGGAATGGAACAGCTTGTTAAAATCCTGTGTGGTGGCAGTGTGTGTTTTAAAGTCAGTTGATAACTATTATAAAGGACCCTACTCTTAGCTACAGTTTTTTAACCCACTACTGCCCCGAAGAATTATTGCAGCTCTCTGAAGAGCTTTTGGTTGGTGTTTTATTGCTAATAACTTGCCACTTCAGAAGATAAATTTGGAGATTGGAGTTGAGGAACATGGGGCAGTACTTTAGATACAGAGGGAATAAAGGAAGTTCCTTCCCTGAAAAAGGTGTTCAGAGACCACAACTTTCTGATCCACAAAGCACTCTGTGTGTTCCAGGATCACCCTCTGCAGGGCCCTGAGTGAGGTGCCTGGGGGTCTGAATGCTGCCATCACCCAGGGCTGGGACAAACTGCACAGACTCTCACAGGCTGCTCTGGGAGTACCAGGTCACTCAGGAGATTATCAACACAAACAGGAGTTATAAAAACAGTTGCAGGCAGCCACTCCAGTCCACACATTATAAAAGTGGTCAGAACTGCAGGAGAAATATCAGTGTCCCAGAGGAGGCTGCAGCTCTGATATTCAGGGAGCCTTCACACAGTGACAGCAGAGGCCAGTGAGATATTGCATTTCAGACTCACCTTCTGAGGGGAAGGAGAGCTTTTAATATAAAATGGGTTGTTTGCCTGTTCTTGTTTCCGGGCTTCACGACGCTAAAAGCGAAAGAGGATTTGCAGTTACAGTGTTTGTAAGCAAAGAGACAAAAGACACCAAAGTGCAAAACAAAAGCACCCTGCCTTTTTTGAACAATACATAACTACTCTGAAAACACTAGAGCAGAGCAGCTTGTGTGTGATAAAGCAGTTCTGAGTTACCAGACATACTAGCATAGAACTGCAGGTAGCATTACTAATTCCCATCCCTGGAAGAGTTCAAGGACGGACAAGGCTTGGAGCAACCCGGCATAGTGGAAGGTGTCTGCCCATGGCAGAGGGTCAAATGAGATGAGCTTTAAGGTCCCTTCCAACCCAAGCCATTGTATATGATACTGTAACTAAAATTCCTTAGAACACCCTTCTTTTCTTCTTAATTATAGACTAGAGATAGTCTATAGTTCCCAGACATCACTTTTTGATGGCAACTGGAATGTTTCTGTTTTCATTTCTGCAAGGAGAGGAAGAAATGAAAATTCACATAACAACAAGTTCTCTCTGTGCAACTAAAGAGGTCAGAGGCAGGAAAGGTGAGATCACTGCTGAGCATGTTACACTCATTCAAAGAAGCTGCTGAAGTCCATAAGCATCAGCTCACATCAGTGATCAGCAATCCTGAGCTGTGGAGAGCAGAGGGGCTCCCTGGCTATGTGGAGAATCCACAACAGCCCCCACTGCTCCAGCACCACTTAGATTACTATTGAATTATGTAGGGAAAAGCATTTAAACATTCACTCACTCTGGCCAGTTCCTCTTCATCTATTTCTGGTTGCCTGTGTCTCGAATGCCTTTGTTCCTCCTCATGAAATATTGTTTTGGGCTTTTCATCTTCAGACTCACTGTCTGATGGAGGCTCATTGATCCAGGCATCGAGGTCCAGGCTGGGAAGAATTGCAGCAAACAAACAGCTTGACTCAGTACCCCTGAGTATTTCCGTGTCTCATCATACACTTTGTTTTATTATTTAAAGTTTAAATAAGGGTTTGGGAGAGAGAAGGAACTTTACCCCTCTGGAACAGGGACTTTCTTCTGTGCTTTAGGAGCCACAGGGTTCAGCTCACCAGCAAACAGGGCTATCACTTCCTCAGCTACAGGAACTTCTTTTACTTGTAGCTTCTGAATGTATTTTATTAGCTGCAAGATGCAAGAAGCCTAAAAACAAATGCAGAACTGGTTTCAGAGTAGTATTTAACAAGCTGAACCAAATGAATTGACTGAAGTCAACAGAAGGTGTTTTACTCCATTAAGGGAATTAAGAGAAGTAGCATAAACTGCAGGTAAATATATAAGAAGTCCATATTAAGCTTCTCTTTTAGCTCAGTCTTTTTTGTGCCCTTATGTGCCTGAATAATTTTAAAATTAAATTGTTTTGCGTGAAGATCTTGCTGGCAGCCTTCAGAGATGGCATCAAACTGCAATAAGATCTGGGCTTTGTCACTGATAACAGCTTATAGAAAATGTGCATGACCACAAAGAACCACAGACCTGCTCCAAGGCTTCCTATGATAAATCCCAAAGTCATTTTGTTCTCTTACCCTCTCCTGAACCTCCAGATCAGCACTCTGCACAAACTGAGGCAGGCGCTCAATCATCAGCTGTGTAATTTCCTGAGCTGCTTCCTTTTCCCCAGCCTGCTCCTTCTGCTGCAGGATGGACGCGTAGAGCTTCACCATGTTCTGCACGTAAACAGCCTGGATGTGCCCTGGCAGGGTTGTAACTTTGGGCCTCAACATTGCTTCCAGGGTTTGGTTTGCTTCCTCAAGGTGTCTGTAAGGACAGAGTACACAGATGAAAGGCAAGCAAAAACAAAATCCAGCAGGCAGTGCTTAATACACAAAGGAATATAGAACACAGCACTTTGTTTTAACAGCTCTCATGCTCTCACTCAAAATTATCTGCTCACAACTAAATAGAAGATGCACAAAAAAAGTTATTGGACTACTACACACTGAAAGCTCAAGTTGTTTCTAAGTAAAAATGTGATCACACTGGAAAAGATGAGAATATTCTCTTACTTCTTCATCTGCAGTTTCCTTTGTACAACTTTTTTTTTTTCTTTTTTAAAGAAAATGAAGATCTCAGCTGTACCAGCATTCCCCCAATGATACCAGCATATCACACCTACAGTGTGAATTTAAACTGGAGCCAGTGTTCAGAGTGACAATTAGAAGGAGACAACAAACCACCTGGTAAGAGCAGACTACAGTCAGACTACAGTCCCACACCTGTCCAATCTAACAGAATAAAAGCTGGGTAACAGCTGTATCTACACAAGCAAGAGACAAAAACATCTATTGAAGCTAAAACACTGTATTTGTTACAAGAACACTGAAAACTGTGCTCCAGTGGGCACTGAAAAATTTTGAGCAAAAAGATGACAACTTTTAATTTCCAGGAAGACAGGGCTCCACAAACACCTTTTAACACAGGCAAAACAGGGAGGAGAGAAAGAACTAATTCAAACGTGGTGGTTGTACATGTTCCCTATAATATAAATGGGGGTAGACCTTAAAGATTAAGGCGTTCCTTCAACATCCTAAGATCTAACAGCTTATACCTACAGTATCAGAAGGATCCAAAGCTGTTGGAGTATCCAGAGGAGGGACACGGAGCTGGGGAAGGCTCTGAGGAGCAGCTGAGGGCACTTGGCTCGTTCAGCTGGAGCAGAGGAGACTGAGGGGAGGCTCCTCGGGGGCTGCAGCTCCTCCCGAGGGGAGGCGGAGGGGCAGGGGCTGAGCTCTGCTCTGGGACAGGGACAGGAGCCCAGGAAGGGCTGGAGCTGTGCCAGGGCTTGGGATGGATCTCAGGGCAAGGTTCTTCCCCCCGAGGCTGCTGGCACTGCCCAGGCTCCCCAGGGAATGGGCCCGGCCCCAAGGCTGCCAGAGCTCCAGGAGCATTTGGACAGCGCTCTCAGGGATGCTCAGGGTGGGCTTGTTGGGGGGTCTGGGCAGGGCCAGGGATTAAACTCAATGATCCCTGGGGGTCCTTTCTGACTGAGAATATTCTGGGAGTCTGTGATTCACTACTATGACTTCCTGCATGAGGGGGCAAGGCTGGAGAGACAGGAAAAATGACCAGATAGTTAAAAATGTCTTGGCTAGAAAGAGCTGAGGAATCAATAGCGTGAGAGAACAAGAGAAAAACAATCACTTTGGTGGCATTAAGGCACATATTCTGAACCATCCTTCTCTCAAAAACACATTTCAGTGACCAAAAGCTTTGCCCACAAGCTGCCCCTCACAGCACACCAGGCTCTGTTTGCACTTACTCAGAGAACTCCCCGCAGATCCAGGCAGCAGCATAGAGCACCTCACAGATGCCATTCCTCTGGGTGTTGCTGGCGATGAGGTGGGCATTGTCCAGCAGCATGGCCATCTGGGACACCGCAAACTTCCGGATGGCTTTCACTCTGATGGCCACATCCAACATCTGGGCTGCGATCAGGTGCCCGTGCCTCGTGCCCTCCAGCCGGGTCAGCTCCACCAGGATGCTTATGTACCTGTGGGAAGGGATGGGTGGCTATCAGAGGACAGTCCTGCACTACCTTTGTGAAGAGCTCCAAGCTGGCAGCTGAAAGCACTGACCATTCAAAGTTTGTGATGTATTGATAATTGGACTGGCTGCAGATGTCTATGATTTTGGTCAGCAGCTCATCTCGGTATGTCGTCCCTTCGGCTTTATCCACGTGAATCATCAGTTTCTTCACAATCTCCATCAAGTTCTTCTTGGAGACCTGTTAAAGAGGTGGGTTCAACCAGTTTCCCACACAACCAACTCCTTCCAGTTCCAGTAAGCAGCTGCTGGCTCTTTGCTGGACCCATATCATGTTAACAAGAAACCAGAACCAGCTCTGCGGACCCCAATCCAAAAACGAACCTGTTTAATACTGTTCAATGTTTTTGTTAAAAAAGAGCCAACACAAGTTACAAGGTGCTTAAGAAATAACTGGATGAGGCACTTAGTGCCATGGCCTGGCTCACAAGTGGTGTTCAAGGTCATAGGCTGGATTTGATGACCTCCAAGGCTTTTTCCAATCCACCTGATTCTGTGATGACCTTGCTGTGGGAGAGCTGAGGATCAGAATTACTATCAGCAATACAGAAATCCAAAAGAAAGTGAATCTTCTATTGCCAGATTAGAAAGCTTAAGAGTTTAAATCATTTTTACTTTTAAAGGAAAAAAATTTAGAAGTAATTCACATCCAGTGGAATGGATTTCAAAATGAGTGATTTCCAACAGGGCCTGAACTGAGCAACTCCATCCAGTCCGAATGAGAACTTTTAAAGCCCCCATGCTGGGCCAGGTATTTTACTTGTCCTGAGGGCCAGAAAAGATATGGGAGCTGTTATCAAAACTCTGCTGTGGAGTGGGCAGAGAAAGTTGCAGGTTTTCCATAACATCACCTGCCTAAAGAGTCAGAGGGGCTGCAGAGGAAATAAATGTAGGAACATACCATGCCATAGAGGAGATCTAAAGCTCTGAGTCGGATGGACTCATCTTTGTCATCCAAACATTGGAGAATGAGATCCTTGTGAGACTGAACTGACTTGGGGTGCGTTTTCAGGATTTTGGACATAGCTAACAGTCCCAGGTACTTCACTGTGAAAGACAAAATAAAACTTCTTTCCAAATATAGAAATACTGTTTTGTGCTGAGCATGAAATCTTAAAGCTGGTTTCAACAGAAGCACCTGGTATTGAAATCCTTAAACTAAAATCCGTGATGAAGAAAAGCATTTTTGAGAATGGTGAATCACAGACTATGGTCTTTAATTTCATAATCCCATAGACAAACAAGTAATTACATATATAACCCTCATCAGGGTCTTCATGCACTTCTAGCATTGATTCAAAAATATGTATTTAATAAACAGAAATGCTGGGGTTTTAGAACAGGCATCCTGAGGTGAACGCAGCTTTAAAAGCAGAAGATTGGTGTGTAGCAGTCCTGCTCTCAAGGGGAAAAATTCAGATGGCAGGAAAAAGAGCTGCACAAAAGAAAAATTTCCCAGTATTCCTTGCAGTCACTAAAGTAAGTCAACACTCTTGCATTTTACACTTATGCTCACTCTGCTGAAAACAGCTGTCACTGCTTTCCAAGCAGCCAATCTATAAAAAGGGAAATCCCAGAGCATGGAAGTAACTGTTTTAGATTACAAGACCATAAACAGCAGTAATAATTATTGTCATTTGTTTTTAAAAATATTATTATAAAGAAGTGCTCACCATCAAAAATTATTTCCATATTAAAGACCCCAGCATATGTTTACAGCACACCAGGTACTACAACCCCTCTGAGGCTGCTGCAGCATCTCCCCAGTGCTTGGAGGCAAACAGCTCCATGAAGACAAGTACCATACTTACAGTTCTGGTCAGAATCTTCTATCAATATCCTCAACTTCTGCACACAAAGCTGGAAAAAAGACCACACCATGTTTATTACAGGTCTTAATTAAGGTAAGCCTTCATCAAGTTTACTCAATACACAAGGAAGTATCTGACCAAGACCTGAGGTGTCCAGGTGAGAGGGTTTTGTTACATTAACAGACTTCCAAACAAAACGAACCTCTGTATGATCATACTGATAACAGGAGACGAATTTTTGAGTTGAAAAACTCTCAAACTCTGCATTTTAGAGTAAATTAAGAAGGAGAATTTATACAGGAAATGCTTCAGTCTGCAGGATTGCACAGTGAGAGCACTTCAGTGAGCTACTGCTGTAACTTCTGGCAGAGGAACACAATCCCATTTTCCCCAGCCCTTGGGATCCCAGAGCAGAGCAGAACAATCCCCAAAAGCAGGGTCCCACCTGGATGCTGGCGCTGTGGTTGGGCATCCCCGAGGACAGAGAGATCAGAACTGAAACAGAAGCACAAATTCCACTCAGTATTTCTGTGCTGGGAGTGACTGCAACATCAACACCCGACAGCCGGCACCTAGCTCAGCTCTCAGGGAAAGGTGCTGGATTATTGTTTGTCTGTTTGCCTGGACTTTTGGGGGTCTGGAAGGAGGAGAGAAGGTTGTGACATTAACTTATAGTTTCATATACCAAAACAGTAATAATAAAGAGGCCAGGAAAAAAAGTGTAAAGGTGGAAACAGCTGCAACAGCCAGGTCAAAGCTGCTTTTCTTTGCTCTCACTGAAGTTTATTTCACTGACATCAAGCAGCAGTCAAGGCTGTTAATGTCAGCAGCTACTGTACAGCTGAATTTTTAATTAATGTGCACTTTCCTAATGCAATGGGATGCAGCAATGGATCCTGGAGTTTAATGTGATTAGATTGAAGCTTTGATCAAGCCAGCCATTGTTGACTATATGGGACACTTGAAAGCTCTGGCAGCACACAGCCCCACTGTAAGAAAGGTGGGCTCTACCCTGGTAACTGCTGCTGGCACAGCACAGCCAAGCCAAACCCAGCAGGTGCCACATATTGCCCTCTGTCCCTGCAAGGAAGCTCTGCTGGACACTGTCACCTCCAGAGCTGGCAGGTGCCAGGTGCTTCTCTTGTGTCTCAGGGCTTGTTTGCTGGCTCCGAGTCTGACATCACCATCCCTGAGGTGTCCTGGGTGGTGAATTCTCCCCCTACCCACAGGATGAACCCACTGGATCCCAGTGAAGGCCACTCTCACCCACAATCAGAATATTCTCTGTGTTATTTTCCCTCCCATCATGACACCTCATTTCCCTGAAGGGATGAAGGAATACACAGTGAGTGACAGATCTCTCTTCCCTCTCTGAACTGACCCAGCTCAGCAAGTTCTGCACATTATCCAAAGTACCCAGAGGAGACAGACAGACCAACTGTGAATGTCAATAACCCTCTGCTCCACACTCCGATAGGAAAAGTGCCAAGCCTGAGCTGCAATACTGTGTTATCCCTTTTTGCCTTTGTTTTCTCTAACACTCCAGTTATGGAGTTCATATCTCTTCCCCAGAAACTGAAACTGCCAATCAGTAACTTCAATTACCTCCTCTAAGGAACTACACCCCATTTTAAAACTGCAAAGTTGCAAAAGTTAAAAAAAAAAAAAAAGTCTGATCCATCATCACATAAGAAAACTTGGCAAAGAGACATCGCTCTTGTTTTAATTCTATTGCTGCTGGTATATTTTGTAGTTGTAGCAACATTTAGGATCTGGCATATAAATAATCTCATTGTCTGTACTTGGTTTCAGCCTTCAGCAAACACAACACAGCTGTAGTGATTATGCCTCTCCCACTGACAACAAAGGATTTCAGCCCCACAGTAACAAAATTTGCCAGGAGACTTATTGCATTATAAAATACATTAAAAGTTAAAGAAAAAGGGTTTACAGATGGTGTTAGTTGATGACAAAGTTCATCACATTTTTTTTCTAGGTTCCAAGTTTCAGTTCTCACCTGCTATTACTGTGTTCACACATTCATATAAGAGAGACATGGCTGAGGTGCTGAAACAGAAATCAAGTATATTAAATAAGGAATAAACCAGCACATTTTGAAGAGTTGTCAGCACTATCTTGGAGCTAGTTAGCACCTTGAACTTCACAAGACATTGTCAATATTCTGCTCTATATCCCTTCAAACAGATGAAATGATTCTCACTTAAAAATGGTTGGGGGGGAGGAATTTTTAAACAAATGTTTAAAAACCCAAAAATCTTCCTGGAAAAGCAGCAAGTAAGGACACTGTGACACAAGGAATATGGAAGGAAGTGGTTACTCAAACTCCAGCACCAGTCACAAAATACTGAAGCAATCTTGTCCAAGAATCAAATTAAATCCTCTGCCCAAGGTCAAAAATTCATGACAGGGCAGATAGAGAAGCTCAAATCTCTCTCCAATTAAGTGAGTCACACCCCAGCAGCAGAGGCTTGGGATGCAGGAACACACTTCCCACCCCTGGAAGTCAGCAACCCATTTCCAGTGTCTGATTTCCCCCAAAACTCAAATTCAATCAAGGCTGCTTGTGCCAGCCAGTGAATACACAGACACTACAATTCTGAGGATTGCAGAAATCCTTACAAAGCCTGATCTGTACGAAAGGGAAACAGGAACCTGCCAATCCCCAAAGGAGCAGGCTCCAAGTACACAGGGAAGGAACACAGCTCCAGAGGCAGCGGCACAGCGATGCCCTGAGGGTCAGCCTGGGATGCTGAGAGCCAAGACCAACAATTCTGCTCCTTGGGCACTTGGTGGAACAGCTCAGGGTGCTGTGACTCATTATGAGGACCAAAATTACTGAATGGAAACCAAGCCAAAGAGGATTCAGTCTTCACAGGTCAGAATTACTGATGTGAAAGTTGGGGAGAGGAGGTAGGATTGTCCATCTTCCTTTTTCTGGTGGGTTGTATCTATTTGTTACTGCTGACAACTCCCTGGAGGTACCTGGATGCTGGTCTGCTCTGAGCCTGCCTTAAAGGAATGTGAGGATGGACAGAAATCACCTGGCTAGAGCTGGTCTCAAGGCTACACAGATATCTGCTTAAAATCTTGCTCTGTCACAAGAAAAGAAACAAACTTTTTCACTCAACAGCTCCTGCATAAGATCACACTTCCTCTTCTTAACTGGGAGAATCTATGTATTCCCTCCAAGGCATCTATTTCCTGATTTCAGTTCAGAATTAGAACCACTACAGTGCCACAAGCCAGCATTAACAAGAGACAAGGAAATAACTTCATTTAATCTACATTTAGAACATATATATTATAAGAACCTCTTTCAAAACACATCTGAGCTGCCAAATGCATGAGAAAGGGCTTTAATATATTCCTTGTCATGTTGCTTTGGTGGGTAAGGCACTTCCAAAAGTCAAGAATCAAATGTGTGAGGTGAACAGGAGAGGCAAATACACAGCTGAGCCTTTTTTAAGCCAGAGTTTTTATACATTCTCCACAGTCATCTCTGGCTTGAAATGCAGTGAAAGGAAAGCAAATTGCTCCAATTTTCATGCATCCTTTGGAGGAATTAATGCTGACAGTCAGAAACCCAGAGACTTTCCTTTAAGGTATTTTACCTCACTCAGGTTTTTCAGAAACAACCCTGATGTAAGATTATCTTTTGATACTTGAAGCCAATATACCAAAAGTCAAGGAAAAGCTTTAAAATGCATCCTCACCCCAGCTATTGACCCACCCACCAGGTCCTTCCCCAGTCCTGACTGAGCAAGGCAGAATCTGTCACATATACCTGTGGATGAGGTTGGTCAGGGGCTCAATCAGTTTCTTTCCAAGTCTTGGTTCTAATGGAGTAAGAGCACCAAACTATTCAAAAAGAAAAGTGAGTTAATAGCTGCTTTTCAGCAGCTTCAAAACATTATGTAAATTACACCTCACTGTATTTAAACCAAGATATATTAACATATTTTTCTCTTTGGTTACATTCACAAATATTAGAAGATATTCCTGGTTTCTTTTTACTCAGACTGAATGGTAACTATGCCTCCCAGCAAGAAATCCATTTTCACACCCAAGGTAATTTAATGAGAACCCTAACCCTGTACACAAAAAGCAGAATACTTGCCAGTTTTATAATTTTAATGAGAACCCAATTATTGGTTGATGACGTCATCAACTTGAAGAAGAGCGGAGCAAGGGAAAGGTAATTTTTGGGATTGCGTCGAGCCAGCTCACAAATAACATTTACTGCAGCAGACTGCACACCTGGGGAAAACAAGTGGGAGAAGCACAAATCCCATCAATGCCTTCATTGTAATTGAAGTTTCTGGTGCAGAACCCCCACAGCAAAAGCAGCTGAAGCTTCAAACCTGTGTGTTCAATGCTTTGGCCTCACTCACAACCCTGAGGCAGCAAAGTAAATATGGGGATGCAAAAGCAAACTGAGAAAGGGTTTTATTTAATTCTGGCTATTTTCTAATATAGCAGCAAGCCAGGTATCTGCTTTGGGTCCAGCATGACAAAAAACAGCACACTGTCACATCCCTGCCCTAGGCTATGGAAAGGTGGTTGTGGGACACAGACAACACAATAATCATCCACCAGAAAGTTTCCAATCACTCTTCACTTCTCTGATACGTATTACTTAAAAATGTTTAAATACAGACCAAAAATAACAATGTCTTAACTGATCTGACTGGACACATTCACTCCCTTCTCATTGCTCAGCCTCTTACATGGGTTGGTGTCAGTTTGGAATGTTTTAGTCTAGACAGGCTGGGTGTCCTAGCAGAGAGCAATCCTTCTCTCCACAAAGCATAACAGGCAATTTCTTCCTCTCTCTGTAGGTGAGGGATTTTGCTTTCTTTAATAACATTGTCCCTGGAAGAAGAATATTCCACGCCCACAATAAAATAGTCCGGGAAATGCAATTAAATTTCTCCCTGTAATTGCAGATACAAATCAAGTGGAGATCAGATAAACATCGTACACACAATTCCTAAAACAAGTGTTTTGGTGCAGTGAGGGAACACCAGCACCTCCTGAAGACTGAGCAAAAATGTGAATATGATACAGAACAATTGCAGATTTCCTGTGCTGCTGCTGACCTACACTGACACACTACTGAGGGGCCAAAGAGCAGTCTGGACTCAAATAAAAAATACACTAAAGACTGTTAAATAATTTTAAGTGTGTTCACTGCAAGTCAATAGCTGCAGCTTGCTAAGAAAGCACAAGAAATAAAAACAGAACCCCAAACCCTGAAATCAACTGAAATATTTTCAGTAACCAAGTTCAGTAAGCAACAAATCAGGAAATTTTAAGCTGCTTTGTCCATTAAGGTTTAACCCACTGATACATTTTCAGTAGCTTTGGGTTTGAAGAAATGGACATTTTAAAGAATATATTTTTAGTTTGGCAACACCTGTCAAAACACCTCTCCTATGCTCACCTACCCTGAAACAGGTGAGTCAGTGCCCAAAAGATGATTACAGCATTTTTCATGTATTCTTTTCTCCACAAGCTCTAGAAGCACATGGACCTCCATGTGTGGAAGCAGAAGGAATTCACTAAAATCCACTCACCAGGATCTGGATCTTCAAGTTTCTCTTTAAGGCGAGGAAATGCAGGACGGAGGGACTCTGGGTACTTCAAAAAAACTTTGTACATGATTAACACTGCCTTCTTCCTGATGTAAGGCTTTGTGTGAGACATCTGTTAATGAAACAACTGCAGTCAGGCTCTGAGCACATCTGTGTTTCCAGAGCTCCTATGCTCACACTCCTGTCACTGAAATTCTTCCTGGGAGACTCAACTGCTTTTTGAGAACTCAGCTTATACAACAAATACTGTTGTTCATCACCAAAACTAATGAATATATTTCAAACTAATCCTCTTGATCTAAACTAAGGTCTGAAAAAGCTCCCCATAACCCCCACAATAATTAATCAGCAGTTTTCACATGTATCTGTTCAAAATTTAAGATATTTACCAGATTTGAATAACTTCATATTCTATAAAGTTATTTCAACTTATCAACTCACCAATGTCATGATGTCATTTGCCAAGTCCCTGGCAAGATCTGGAGTAACAAAACAGGACAAGCCAGTCAGTGCAACTCCAGTATCATACTGGTTAGGGCTACTCAGATCCTAAAAAAAGAGAAACACGCTCAAAAACTTAAGATCCCACAGGATGTCAAGAAACAACTTCCACAGACCAATTTTATTTATTCAACATAAATGAAGCAGAGCTTCTGCTGCATGGGAATATTTATATATCAACTACTAACACCTGCTAAAGTACAGCCAGCCTGGGGTTTAATAATGGGCAAAAGAAACCGTAATTAAACAAGAGATGGATGACTGCAACATAAAAGCAATCAGAGAGATTGCACCTTGGGTGTTTTAGGAAATAGTTTTTAATCACTCATTACAGGATCACAAACATATTTAAAGTCCTAAAAAACTGGTATTAAACACTAACCCTGCTCAGTCAAATTGCAAGTGCCATCAACTTCACTGGGAACAAGCACTCTTGGTCAGTGGTGTACCACCTTAATCTAGTGGAGAAATGAGATTATTCTTCTCCCAAGCTGCTGGCAGCACCACAACTTCCAGTCCACAAAGAGAGGACACAAGTTATGTGTGTGGAACACATTCATTGGTCAAGTTTCCTTGGACCTACCTGTAGTCAGTATCCTACCCAGCCTTCCATCTTTCAGGTCTTTCTAAGCTTAAATCACTTAACCATATCTCTGAGTATGTCCAAGTACAGACTATAAATTGTGTATCAGGAAACACAAACATGGAGAAGCTGCACAGAGCATTCCCACATGGACTGCTGAATTAAGAGTCCAGATTCACGTGGACACTGAAGCTGCTTCAGGAGAGCTAAACATAGTCAGGCCTTTGGGGTTCTGTGCCATTTGCATCTCATTTAAAAACCTGCTGCAGCTGGTGGGAAATTAGAGTCTACTGTAAGAATAATGGTATCTACTTCTTAAGGAGCAAAAAACTGCAATTCATCCTGGCTTTAATGTATTTTGAGAACTCATAAATCCTTCAAATCTCAAGTGGCTGGATCAATGAAATATGAAAAGCCATAAAGAAAGATGCTTTTAAGTAAAAACTTGGGCACAAGGTGGAAGTAGCCAGCAACTGAAATTCAGTAAAATAAAGTGTCCATAATAAAGACAATAGATATTCACATTCAGCACAGAATAGTTCAAAAGATACAGGGAAAAACACTAGATCTTTCGGCAAGATATTGGATAATATCCCACTGCTCTTTTTTAAGCAAGGAAAACACATTTTAGTTCCTCATATGGTAAAAACGTAGGCACATCTTGTACTGGATCAGTCAAATTTTAAAGCAGTGATACTTAAAAAATCATAGTTAAGAGCTTTAAAAAAAAATCTGTAACTTCAAGAATGGGAGAACTATGCTACAAACCAGTAACTCTAAGTGATCAAACTCTAGGAAAATGAATACACATGTGGGTACATGAATACAGAACAAAACTTTCAATACAGTCTTCACCATTTTTAAACCCAGTTCTACCAGAGAAGTCAAAGTCTGATCTGGAATTACAGACAGAAAGAACCCTCACAAGTAGAAATGTTGTGGAGCCACGTCACTCCAGAGCCACTGCACATTTTACTTCAGGAATGGGGACATTTTTCCTGCCTGCTACTTTCTTATAAGCACTGCCTAGAGACCAGCAAAGTTATTTCTGTCACCATTCTCTGTGCTGAACAAACACAGAGCTGGTATGAGACAGCACAGGGAGGGCTGTGCACAGCTCCTGAGTGTTTCATTAATCCCTCAGTTTGTGGAATGACAGGAGACTTCAAATCAAGAACTCTACTTAAACACCTCTATATTCCTAATGGAGAAATACTTGGTACAAATGTGAAACTACAAGTAGGGAGAGAGTGCAAGAAAAAAAATGAAGAACTGAACATTTACCTTTCGGATCTGATTAGTTGTCAACATAATGACATCAGTCCCTTCATGAAAGCACTGGGAGGCAGCCAGGTAACCAATGCGCTGGGAAAAGGCAAGGAGGAAAACAAGGTTTGTATTTAAAGTCAATTTAGATAGACATTGTTTAGGTGGAAAACAACTGGTGGCTTGCTAAGTAATATTAAAAAGATGAACAAGTAGGTTTGTATAACAGAAGAGGCATGAGAGGGTCCACTAGAAAAGGGGGTTTATATCAAGAAAGAATAAATCCAGACAAGTAACATTCTACTGATAATTTATCTGTCTTAGGGATAATAAAACCACCTTCACCTTCTCTATATGTTCAGTGACCACAAAGCTGCAGAAATAAGGTAGGATTGTCCACTACATTAATTTTGTCTATGTTGGCTTCTGAATTTCAGGTACAAAGCCCCATTTGGAAATCATTCCTTAGGAAGTAACATTCCACCCGTTTGGTGAAAAAGGTCTGCAACCGCACATGAAACAAATCTTTCAAGAAAAATTATAAAACTATAACAAAATAAAAAATGCCTGGTACTAGGAATCTCAGGTGGTCTTAACAAAAATACCCTGGCTTTTCACAAGAGGTATCTGACAGCTTGGCCAGGACAGCTGCATTTACAGAGAACTCACCTTGAATGTAAACTTGGAAGCACTCATAACTTCAATAATGTTGAAAGCAGCCCAACTGATGTCATAGCCCAGCATCTGTAACTGTGAGCAGAGAAGCCAAGATAAATTTCTGAAATAAGAGACTCAAGAAAATAGGTCAAGACACCTCCCAAAATTGCAGATACAACAGGAGTCTGAAAATGATACTGTAAGACATCACAGGTTTATGAGCAATGTTACACCACGCCACTCACAGTAAATGAAAGATATCACAAGTTTTAAACAGTTATTAGCTCCAGGTTGTCCAGAGCAGCTGTGGCTGCCCCTGGATCCCTGGAAGTGTCCAAGGCCAGGCTGGACACGACTTGGAGTGGCCTGGGATAGTGGAAGGTGTCCCCACCCACGACAGGAGGTGGCACTGGATGAGCTTTAAGGTCTCTTCAAATCCAAATCATTCTGTGATTCTATGACATGCAGTTATATAAGCATTTGTGTGAAGGGTTTTCTTTCTGATTTTTTTTTAAATAAAAACCATAACAGAAACACAAAAAGAATTACCATTATTTCTGCCTTTTCCTTGTCAACAAAGGATTAAGAAAAGAGAAACAAACTCAGTTTCGAGTGCTCATGTCACTATATCATAAGAACCAATCCAGTTGAAAACAATTTCTTTTAACTTTTAACTTGTTTGTTTTAAATGAGATTCTCTTCCTGACCCATCACAATAAAATCCAGTTGTACCAAACAGAGCAGGAATGTGCAGCCTCTGATGTCAGAGTCGGGGGAGTGTTGTCCCCACAGCCTGCACTTAGAGCGGTCTGGGGACAGCAGGCACTCAGACTCAAGGCTGGCTCCAAATCAGCAGGAAAGAACAAAATCCAGCTGCAATTCCATGGGATCCCAGCATGGCACTTACATAGGTCAGTTTGCAGACTGCATTTGCCTTCACTGCGATGTTGTCCTGCTTCAGCTCCTGCTTGATCTCATCGATGCATTGTGAGATGTATTTTGCCTGAGAAAAACAAAAATTTGAGCTCCTTTACAGTTTCTCACATTTTCAGCATGTTGGTGGGGAGAAGCAGCAGAACTCCACCTTTGCAAGCACCAATCTCACACACACACACACACTACTTAATAAGCATTTAATTCTGACAAAATTACTTGTTAAAAAGAACCACCACAATTCCATTACAAAACCAAAAGTATGGAATATTTCTTTGATGGTTGTCCCTTCTGCCTCTCCCTCACAATTACACCACTCACTCCAACGCTCTAGATTCAAAAATCTGCAAACATGAAGTTGTTCAATGGAGACTGAGTAGGCAGAGGTCTGAACAAAACCAGAGTTCACCACTGCTAGAAAGCTCACTGCCCCCAGAGGGATGTCAGAGAACACCCGCTCATTACACCACAAGAAGAAACTGTCAAACCCTGGTAACAGCCCACAAATGAAAGGTGACTGATGAAAACACGCTGAGCTACCCCACTTTTGGATATGCTGCCAATGATGACACTGTGGGTGTGCACCCACACCACTTCCCGTGCCTGCAGAGGCACAGCACAAGGCTTGGATGGGACACAGGTGCTTCCTGGATCCCCCCAGCCATGGAAAGTCATGAACCCCCTCTCTGGTTCTAAACTAACATGAGCTCTCCCTTTTGCCATTTACACATTTTGATAAATAATAGTTATTTGAATGAATTTCTCAGTAACTCAAAGAGCCAAATGTCACAATGTTTACATTTAAATATTGGTGCTTCACATCTTTCCAAGCAATCACATCTGTGCTTGTGGGAAGGATGTGGCAAACATGTGATTTAAAATTATCTGTACAGATTTTAATTTATAAGCAGAATTTGCTCAGCCAAAGATTCTTCCAGTTCACAATTAATTATTATTTAAGTACTGAAGGCATGTGCTACAGGAATCATGAAAATTTAAATGCAAAGAAATAATCTCTTTTCAAAGCCATGTATGCACCAGGGTATTTCACATTTTTAACTGCCAGAGGAACCAGGTCAGAACCTGATTACCTAATACCTGCCTGAATGCCATCACCTTCCTCTGAAATTATATTTTCATCATAGAAATCTACTGGCCTGATTTTAATCAACATTTTTTTCCCCTTTACACTAATTTTTGTGTATTAATACAATCATTTTTTAGTATTTTCAAATGTCCTGGAGTAACACTCACTATTCAAGTCACAAAAGTTTGCTGCTAGAATCAGTAGGTGGAGAATGGATGGAGAGAATCCCTGGGGAGAAGGACTTGGGCTGTTGGTGGGTAAGAGGCTCAACCTGCCCCGGCCACAGGCACTGAGCCCAGGAACCCCCCTGTGCTGGGCTGAGCCCCCAGCGTGGGCAGCAGGGGAGGGGGGATTCTGCCCCTCTGCCCCTGTGCTCAGGTGAGACCCCACCTGCAGAGCTGCCCCAGCCCTGGGGAACAACATCAGGGGGACGTGGAGCTGCTGGAGCCAGTCCAGAGGAGGCCACGGAGCTGCTCCAAGGGCTGGAGCCCCTCTGCTCTGGAGCCAGGCTGGGAGAGCTGGGGGTGTTTAGCATACAAATGAAAGAACTTGAAGGAATTTTAAGATATTCCTAAATGCCTGTGTTTGGGATAGAAATACTATCCTTACAGTGGGAATTCTCATGTTAAGGGAGGGCACTGTAAACACCAAACAACCCTTTCCTGTACACAGATCCCTTCTATTCTCCTGGATACAGGTGAGTGGATTGCACCTGCCAAAACTGGAGATGGCATCACCCCCAAACACTTAACAAGATAGTGACCAGGTGACTTTATCCAGAAGCAATTTGGGATTCTAAACCCTTCACCTGAGAGTGATTCAGGTCCTGACAACTCACATGGGAAGTTTAAACTCTCAAGTTTTCACTTGAGTATAAACTAAAAAAACCTTCTGAGGGTAGAAAATAAATACTTCATCAAAGATGAAGAGTGACTTACACAACATGCAACTGATCCACAAATATATTGTACTTAGCCTTGAATATTTTATGCCCACAGAAGAGCATGCTGGAACAGTGTCACAGAATCCTTCATGTGTGTATCTTGTTGCCACATCCTGGGCAAAGAGGCCAGTGATGGTTCTCAAGGCAGAAAAAAACTGACACACAGATTCTCAGTGTTCACATCCATAAGCAAGAGCCTCACTTATCTCCCACTGCACCTATCCCCAAACTATTCAAACATTAGATTAAGCTTCCTGGCAACCTCTCTGGAGTTGAGCATAACCCACTGTGTGAGCAGGAGGGGGGAAAAAATAGAGTACAGTTCCCTGTACTGTTCAGTAGTGCCCAGCCTGGCACAGCCGAACACAGGCTCCAAAGTCACCAGCCCAAACATCCCACAGGCAAATCCCTGCCTACCAGTTAGTCCAGCTTCTGGAAAAACATATTACAGAACTCAGAATCAGATCTGCAACTGAAAATAAAAGGGATTAGAGACAGCAGAAAGAAGTCTTTCCAAAACAGCTGCACTTCAAATCCCAAAACACTCCAAGGAATGACAGGCACTATATATAGAAAGCTTTACAGGATCAGCAGGTATTAACTTTTTGTTAATCCTGTGGAGCGGCACCACCATGAATGAGCAATATGAGGAAAACAGATCTATTCAGTCTTCCTCTGCAATCTGAAAGCCAAGCAACACACCCGGCTGGATCCGCTGCCACATTTCACACCCACAGAACTGGGAGGGAACCCGGAGGCGGGAGTGGATCCTTAGCAAGGCTCTGGCTCGGGGAACGCTGCTGACCTGGGCATGCACAGGACCTGCAGGTCCTGCATCAAAGCACTTCCCAGTGAGCGATACACACAGCCCCCACTTCAGCCCATGAGCTCTCCGTGAGGGTCACACCAGACAGCAAAAGGGAGAACAACCACTTGATGCAATGAAAAGAATTGTAGCCACTCTGTGAGGCCTAAACATTTGGAAGAAAAAAAAACCAAAACTACATTTACATACTGACACAGCAAAAAAAACTGGATATCTTGCTCAATCATGTTTTTGCATCAATCCTTCTAATATAGGAATTTCCTATATTAGTGTGGTAATTAAAAATAAATATTTCCCAGGATATAACTAGCTCAGTTTTTCCTTAAATGCTATTGAGGTCCCATGAATCACAGAATCATTAAGGTTGGAAAAGCCCTCTAGGATCAACAGTTGCTAATCCACTGCCATGTTCATCATTAAAACATGTCCCCAAATGCCACATCCACATGTTTTCTTGAATGCTTCCAGGGATGGTGACTCCACCACTACTCTGGGCACCCCCTTCCAATGCCTGGCCACCTTTTCTATGAAGCAATTTTTACCAATATCCAATCTAAACTTTCTCTGGCACAACTTAAAGTCGTTTCCTCCTGTCCTGTCCCTGTTCCCTGGGAGCAGAGCCCAACCCCAACCTGGCTGTCCCCGCCTGTCAGGGAATTGTGCAGAGCCAGAAGGTTCCCCCTGAGCCTCCTTTTCTCCAGGCTGAGCCCCTTTCCAGCTCCCTCAGCCACTCTTCATCACACTTGTGTTCCAGTCCCTGCTCTGGACACACTCCAGCCCCTCAATGTCTTTCCTATCATGAGGGGCTCAAACCTGACCCCAGGATTCAAGATGGGGCCTCAGCAGTGCCCAGAGTTCATTTATGCTCCCAGTATTCATTACAATATCAATATATTTCTTAGCTATTAATTCCTTACTAATTCTGTGACAGTATAATCTGCAGTTTTGTGTTGATGGGTCACACATTCTGGCCAGTTGACTGAGGAGCATTTCTAAGCCCCAACATTTCCAGACGTGTGGACACGGCCAGTCAGATGGCCCTGAGGGAGGCAGCAATGTTCGGGCAGGGTGGTGAGGACAGGCAGAGCCATGAGGCACAGGAACCCCCCAGGAGGACGGGTGGGAGCAGGGGCAGAGCTCCCTCTGCCAGCAGCAGAGCTGAAGACTCAGAGCAGCAGGCAACGGGCTGAGGCTCTCTTTTATTCCTGCTAGGCTGCCAAGTGGGAAAGGAGTCTTCTCTGCCACAGTGGAAAAGGCTCCTTAATGAAATGCTACAGCAACCACTCTGGTAATTGTTCTGTCTCCCAAGGAGCATTACAGCAACACACCCGGAGGACCCCAGCTAAAACCCAAGCCTGCAGATGTGAGCGGTGAGTACTCAACAAAGCCATGAGAACAGCACAGTCACAACTGCATTTTCTCAAAGTATGTCACCAACGAGATGCTGGAACATTTTATATCCATTAACAAAATACACACGCTGTTTTTTAAAACAAGCCCAAATTCCTCAAGAATTCCAAGATCACACCTAGAAAATATGTGCATTTAAATGAATGTGAGTGGTTAAAATAAAGAAGGCATCATGAATCAGAGACACAGTCCCTTTGAAATGATAGGGGGAAGGGGAGAGTGGGTCATGGTATAAAGCCAAAAATGTAATTTTATACAATTTTTAATTTCCCAGCCATGTTTTTTGACTTAACTTTGAAAAACACTAAAGCTTTATTCCAAGCCAAGACAGAACTTGGGGTTTGCTGACAATTCCAGAGATGCTCACAAAAGATTTATCTTTCTCAAGCCAGCAGTATGCAAAGTTAAAAAAAAAAAAAAAAAAATCACTCATCTGTACAACAATTACATTCCTAAGAAATGCGATTCTCCATGCTGTACTTTTTTTTATTACCTGACAGGAGTACACTAATGATTGGGATGGAGATCATTGCAGAACCTTTATATTAAATTTAATCATGTGAACTACTCATTTCCAGTAGTCTTTAAGAAGCTATATTTTCATCTCAGCCATAAACCACCTTCTAAACCCAAGAAAAGGCAAACTCACATTCCTACCACTTTGGGTTGCAGCCCAGCAAACCAAATGCACTTGATTTGAGATTCAGACCTGTCACTGCAACATCGAGGTGCTTCCACCCAGAAGAAAGAGCAAAATATCAGTGAACATTAGTTCCTATTTCTCTTGCACTTCCAGGGTTAAAT